TGTTCTTTAAGTCCAGGATCACGGTTGCTCCAGGCTTAGTATATTTTTCTGCATACAGAATTGAAGTAAGTACTCACAGATAGGAAATTAGAGCCGAGGTTTCCTTAAATTTTAAAGAAGATGATGAGTTCTTTAAAGTGTGTGTGTGTATATATATCATATATATAATATATTTCCCATGACTCAATCTATTTTCAAAAAATAAATAGGAATAGAATATTCAGTAAAGAATATTCTCATTGTATCACATAAAGTAAGTCTTAAAACATAATTTTGGAAAATGAGTGAGAAGAGAAATTTTAAACAGACAAAAATACTTCCTCTTCTACTTCCAAGAGAAGTATTTGTCCTAAAAAATATATATTTAAACATACCAAGTTTAAAAAGTTTATTGAATTATATTTTAATATAAAAATTTAATTTAACTTCCAATGTAATATAATTTTCTTGAAGTTGGTAAATCTTAATTGAAAAGTAGAGTAGTTAATTATAAAAGAGAGAGGAAACAGAATTTGGTAGATGCTTTGAATGGACACTTCAGTTCTTAAATGCATTTAGCATATCAAATAAATATTCATAGTCAATATGTGGACACAATTAAGAATAGACCTTATATAAAATAACTGAAAACTCTATACTGTTAAGAAATTCTTCTATTGCACTTAATTTCTTGTTTTAATCAAATTTTTTGTTAAACTACACCCATTTAAACTGTGCAATATCATAATTTATGATGAATTTATTATTGCTTTCCCTTTCCTCTGGATCTTCCATTATGCCTGTGGAAAATGGGTTTTAGCCTGCTCCAGAATTTCCTTTCCTCACTGCTAGTTCTAGGGGCTTCTAACTTGCTTAGACAGCCTCCATAATTTCATATATCAATCCTTTTTAATAAACCCTTCTATTTATCCACACGTACATATATAAAGATACAAATTGACAAATAGGTATCAACAACTTGTTAATGTGAAGTGGAGCAGTTAAAGATGCAAAAACAATCTATGATGCACCGAAAATATTAACCTGCAAAAACTTAATTCTGTGTGTATTTGTTTCTGACTCTGAACAGAAATTGAGACACGCTTTGAAAAGTATAATTGTTTGCTATTCGTATTTGGAAGACACAAAGCTACAAGTAATTCTGTCATTAAAAGAGAAGCGTCACATTGGAGTATGATATTTGCATGCCTCAGTCTCTCCACATGTATGAGGCAGCTCAAGTTATTCCAATGATATTTTCTGCTCTGTAATGTAAACTGGCTGTGAAATGAGTTGAATATTGTCACAGTTTGTGCAGGGAATTACTGATTATAAAAGGGAGGAGTAAATGGTGTTAAGATTTTATAAGATCATAAACAAAGTCTAGATATTTAAAACATCAGGATATGGCAGGGCTGTCCTGTTCTCCAGAATATCATCCCCATGTAGACACAGTATAACCTTCACCTGGCACCCGGCAAGGAGCCATGGGATACAGTTATTTGGAATGAATCTATGTTATACACTGAATTGATCTCCCTTTATTTTAGGAGTAGTTCATTTAATTCCATTCCTCAGGTAAAGTAGAGAAAATAAACTCATTTTTAGTATATAAAGCTTCTCGATTTTTAAATGTTTTCCTATCTTATCTCCCTTAGGTGCAGGAACCCTGGTCCAATAGCTAATTCATGGTTCTACCTCAAGTATTAAACTCTCATTAAAAAAAAAAAAGACAATGAAATGACTTATTTTATACACAGAAGTTGACAGACTTCTATACCTATACTATGGAAGATACACAATTAAGTGTTTTAAAATGAGTTATTATACATTTTAGGATTCAAACTATATTCTACTGGAAGAAATTTTAAAATATTATATCCATGAGATTCAATAGCTTTATTTTCAGAGATTTTCTTTAATGTTACACCCAATATCTCAAAGGAAATTGAACTGATACTGCTTTCAAATATATTTTGCACTGAAAACTAATCCACTTTGGGGAAAAAGTTATATTGGCTCTTAAATTGAATGCTTTCTTAAATCCTGGAGGCTCATTCTTTCTCCTCTCAGTGATTTGGTGGGGTAGATTGCTCCACAAACATTAAATAGGTGTTATTCTCAGGCCATTTTTAGCTTGGATTCTGTCGTTAAGAAAATGCCATTGTGCACACCCAGCCAATGGGAAGAAACAAAAAGATAAGAATTCCCTTTAGTACAGAATGTGGTTCAACATAACTGTATTTAAAAAGTCCATTTCATCATGAGATCATGTCCAGAAAATACATATCCAGATAATTTTACCTTAAACATACAGAGAGTGTTTGTAGTATTTTAATTTCTAGTCAAGATTCTCTTCAGCAGAATATGGCTGATGATATTACAAGTGATTTATCTAGGAAAATAGAGCCATTTGAACAAACTAATAGACTTTGACTTAGCTAATTTCCCAAGGGAATTTCTGCTCTATACTCAGTACCATCCTAAAGCTACTCCTATGAAGACTGGAAAACATACGTTAAAGTCGCTTCAAAGACTCCGGATAATCCCTACCTTTTTATGTCTGTTCTTTGACTTTCATGGTTCCAGGCCTCATGCGTGCATTTTTCACGATTTTGAGGCCCTTATTGTCAGAAAACATCATCATTAGCTATTAGATTTTAGTGATCAATAATCAAATTTTCATTTTGGTTTTTTGCCACAACACAAATAGCCTTGAAAATCTTCTGCTTCCATCACATCATTACTCCAACTACAAAAGCAGTTTAAATTATCATTTTGACACAGAGAATCTGAAATATGAATAATTACCTCTCTACATAACATCAACATCACATCTCCCTTTATTGACATTTGTAATTAAATGTTTTTTAAAAATTTTTATTGAAGTGTTGTTGATTTACAATGTTAGTTGCAGGCATACAGCAAAGTGATTCAGTTATACATATATACTATATATATATTATTTCTTTTCTGATTCTGTTCCATTATAGGTTATTACAAGAAACTGAATATAGTTCCCTGTGCTACACAGTAGGCCCTTGTTGTTTATTTATTTTATATATAGTAATGTGAGTCTGTTAATCTCCAACTCCTAATTTATCCCCTTTCCCCTTTGGTAATCATAGTTTGTTTTCTATGTCTGTGTGTCTATTTCGATTTGTAAATAGAATTTGTATAATTTTTTTTAGATTCTACATATAAGTGATGTCATATGATATTTGTCTTTCTCTGTCTTACTTTACTCAATATTATAATCTCTAGGTCCATCCATGTTGCTGCAAATGGCATTATTTCATTCTTTTTTATGGCTGAGTAATATTTCATTGTGCGTATATATATGTGTGTGTGTGTGTGTGTGTATGTATAAATATCACATCTTCTTTATTCAATCATCTGTTGATGGACATTTAGGTTGTTTCCATGTCTTGGTAATTGTAAATAGTGCTGCTATGAAAATTGGGGTGCATGTATCTTTTCAAATGATAGTTTTCTCCAGATATATGTCCAGGAGTGGGATTGCTAGGTCATATGATAAGTCTATTTTTAGTTTTTAAAAAACCTCCATACTGTCCTCCATAGTGGCTGCACCAATTTACATTCCCACCAACAGTGCAGGAGGATTCCTTTTCCTCCACACAGAAAAGATGGGAATAGAAGAAACTATTTGTAGATTTTTTTAATGATGGCCATTCTGACAGGTGTGAGGTGATACCTCATTATAGTTTTCATTTGCATTTCTCTAATAATTAGTGATATTGAGAATCTATTTGTGCCTGTTGGCCATCTGGATGTCTTTTTTAGAGAAATGTCTATTAAGTATTTCTGACCATTTTTTTGATTGGCTGTTTTTACACATAATTAAGTATTTATGACCAGAGACTCAGAGTTCTATTTGATCTAAAAGACAATGACTTATACCAATAATTCAAAATACGTTTTAAAAATATCAGAGTTTGACACATCTATTTTACACATCAGAACATAGTCACAGAGCATCTACTTTTTTGTGTCTAAAAGCGTACATCTAGTCAGTACCCAACAGCACAGCCTCATCTCAGATACTGAAACACTCAGGTTTGCAATTCCTACAGGATTTTCAATATCCACTCATATCTCTGACCACAGAATACTGACATTCACTTCTCCCTCTTCTCTAGATTGCTTTGTAATTTAACCTTTATTGTCCTTGTTTTATTATTTTAAAAAATTCCCCAATGCATTATTCTGTTCTGGATCTCATCTCTAAATACCTATAGTATAGACTGCTGATAGTCCTCAATATCTATTTTCTTTCTTTCTTACTAATAGAATCCACAATATTTAGCTAGACAAATGTCCACTTAAGAATAAAGATTGAATTTCCATATTTTTCTTACAATAATTTTAGTCATGTAATTAAATCCACAGTAAAAATATCAAAGTGATGTGTGTGGCTTCCAGGAAGTTTCTTTATAAGGAATCTGATGTGTCTTTTTTTCCTTCCTAATTCTGCCTAGATATGTGGATGTGACATGTGGTAGGACCTTCTGCAGACAGCATGTCTGGTCCATGCTGTACCAGCTATAACTGAAGGACGAGAACATGACACAAGGAGAGGGGATCTCTGATGTTAGTGGAATTGCCCTACAATTGCTGCACTGCTTACCATCAAACTCTGCATAAACTTCCATTCCTGCTTTTAACCACTCTCCAGGTTTTCTTGTTTTTGTTGTTTGTTAGGTGAAATAGTATATTATGGCCCTATTCTATTTCAACTAAGTTTTAAACATATTAAGAAAAAATCATCCAAATAGCATGATTGACATGATCTAAATTCTGTCAAAATCTTCACTTGATTCAGTTAATGGTATATGCCTTGAGTTAATTTCAAAATTATCTTTTTTGTGTTAAAGTTTTAATCACTTATCTAAAGGCAACTGGAAATGAATAATGTCAAGTATCGATTCAGTAGCATCCATGTTTGTGGAGACAGTGTGGGCTGGCCAACTACTGCTACTTTTTTGTTATTGAAAAAAGACAGATCTTTTCACTTATTTGCATACTTAGCCAAACATCAAAGTTCTAATAATCATGAAGACAGTTGGAACCATTTGACAAAAAAAGGGATGTCAAGGTGAGAAAGAGGATACTGGAAACAACTTTTTTCTGTAGAGCAAATTTTGACTATTTTGGTTGCTTTTATGTATGTAGAATACCTTGCTCACAGTAAACAAATTCTATAAAATACAAAATGTTAGTACCTAACTATATACTGTGACACATACACACACACACACAACATAATATATAACTAGTTGTAAATTCGATGTGTTCTGTGTCCATAAAATTTAGTTGCTTGCCATGTGAATGAACTAAAGTATATATTTCATTATCAGAAATGTATCTCTTATTTTAAAATTTTCAATATAATATTCACCTGGAAATCAGCAGTGGAAAAATTTTCAATAACAAAAATTCTCTGAGACATCTGGGTTTATTTCTCTCTGTCATATAGCCTTGATTAAATAATAATTGTCCTTTTAACAATTTGCTGGGTATGAGACAAATATATAACATTTATGTAGACTTTTAAAAATTAGTTATAATATATTCACTTTGAATATTGATTTAAACTGTGTGCTATAGATATAGAAAAACATAATGAAAGTAGAGAAAATTAATTTTATGATCTTGAATTAAAATAACTGTGTCAAGCCGGTAAATGAGTAAACTTAATAACCAAATTTCAGTAATTACATAGTGGGTTATAGATAATAATGATGATGATTTTTTTATTTACTTGACTTTTTTACATACACACAAGTTTTTCTGATTAGGCCTGATGACATTAGAACAAGTATATTTGTAATGCCATCATTACATATAATTATATGTTCTCCAATTGGCTTAACCACAATATTGTAATCAAAATACATTGTGTAATTACAGAGTTCTGGGCACTGTGTTGACCTCTATGATAAAATTACAGTGTTGCTTTATTAAATACACACATGCAGACATTTTAGAAACCTCTAGCTCTATAAGAGTAAAGAATATTTCTTAATGAATTTTTAGCAATCTGGAGACTATTATATAGTGCAGTGCACTTGTCAGTTGCTACACTTTGAGAAAATAAGATGCAGGTATCTACTAGACTCAAAAGTGCATGTGCCTTATAACCCAGCAATGTGAATTGAGTAAATACACTGATATGCAGAGCTGAATATACAGTAATGGTTTTGCAGCATTGTTTAGTGTGGCAAAAGAAAGCAAAATAAAAATTGGAAGGCTTTGCATACGGAATTTTAAAATAAATTTTTCTGTTATAATTGGGATGTTGTCATTATTAAAGGATACATTAATCTGCTTGTATTAACCTGAACCTACATCTACTATACACTTTAAAGCAAAAGAAAAGTTTGCAAAATAATTATGTGCTACATTCTCATATTATAGAACATTAGCTAACACACTCATGCATTTCTCATACAGACCCACACTAAGAGATTTACACACATTATCTAATACATCCTCAAGTCAACCATGTGTTAAAGCATTTTTTTTAATCATTCCCATGCTATACACAGGGAAGCTGAGGCACAGAGAAGTTCAGTAATTTTCCCAGAGTCACAGTAATAATGAACAGTCAAGCCACTTGAATAACAGGACTTTGAAAACTTTCAAAGGGATCTGAAGACCACTTAATTGCAGCATTATTATATTCCCTAAGTCTCAGGACTGCTTTATTTTAAAATAATTAAATATCTTCAACATTGGGCTTACTGATTTTATGATGACACTTGGTAAAGCCTCGTAAGTTTCTGATGCACAAAATAAAAATGTACATCAAACCAGATAGAAGTATTCAGTGTTTTGTAGTTGACTGAATAAATGTACCTACAGTGGTTATTTAATGAAATATGGTAATTTAAGATGAAAAAAATTATACATCCAGGTTCTGTAACTTGCATTACTCTAAATAAAAAATTTTAACAATGATGTAAGTATTAGGGCTGCTCGTAGTACTCAGTTTTTCTCCCTCTGTGAAACTAACAAGATGACAGTATCCTACCCTGCTTAAATTTACATGGGGCTGTATCACTGGTTTTGACCAATGGCACTTGAGCAGAAGGGATTTATACAAGGTTCCTAAAAGAGGCTTTGTGAGTGATGCTGGATAAGTCACAATGGACTTTTACCAGCTGTATCCACGGGTGACTAAGTCCGTTTGCTGACCTCTGTTAGTCACTGACATTTTTTTAGATTTAGAGGTTGCTTATTGCTGCAGCACTGTATAGCCCATCCTGACTGATATTCAGAACAGGACAGAATTTTTGCTTTAGAAACAGATGAAGATCTTTACCAGGGAAAACTAGATAACATATTAAATGATAAAACCAGGGTTTGAGATTAGGGATTTACAACAATATATTTTTGATGAACTTGATTAAGGACTTATAGAAAGCTCTTCAGCTGAGGTTAAAAGAAAACAAAACAAAAACAAACAAAAATAACGTGCTGTAAAGATTTCAGTTGGGAAAAGCCCACTTTAGGATGTGTTTAATGCTATGTCTTGGTGGAAAACCAAATGTAATCTAAATGTCATGTAGAAAATCCCTTCTTCATGATTGGCTTATCAGAACTAGGCAATTTGCTAGTCTTTGTTCTAAAACAAATTCTCACTTTAGTATATAAAAAGGGAAGTTGAGGTTTGCCTCTGCGGTGAAACCGGGCCAAGCAGCTGGTTGGGGCACACAGTTGACTGACAGCTCTAGAGGATTCCTCTCTGCTCCCCCTACTACTTGTGCTCCAAAGCCACCTTCCCATAGCTGTTCCTGGCCAGTGACTGGGCACAGCAAGGTGCTACTAAGGCCCAGTCCTGCCCACTCCTGCCCACTACGGTGGGGGGGGGGACATCTGGCTTAGGAACATCTACTGCCCTGGCCAAAACATGTTTAGAATTGGGCTGCTTTCTGCTACTCATTTGACCCAGTCTTCCTTCTTTCCTCTCTTTCACACACGTCAGAAGCTTATAGTGGCTGAAGGCTCTCTCTGCCTGTTCCTGTTACTTCCCCTCAGCTTGCAAAGGTGTTTTTTCCTGTAAATCTCTTGAACATCTAATTCCAACTAGGCAGATTCAAAGTACCACAACTTTACTTTGGCTATTAGTTTCAGTGGAAAATAGGTTTGTATACATAATATACATAAACATATGTATTGGCTAAATATATTATCATTAATAGATCCACATTTCCAGTGCTTAAAAATAAGCTTTACAGAATATTAAAAATAAAACCTTTAAAAATATTAATACTGTTTATAGAATTTCAATGTGTGAATAATATGTACATCAAAGATTCATATGGACTTTTTCTTCTACTTACGATACAAAAATATCTCTTTAGAGTTATGGAGGGGAGAAATCTATTTCTGAAGAAACATTTTTTATTTAAAGCAAAGTGGAAGAATGGACATTAATAAATATATGAGCATGCACTGAAAACATTATTTTCTTATTTCCAAACTATATAGGCAAAGTGAATTTAGTTTTGTGTTCACTTAAGCAAAATACTGAAATAAACTTAACTGAAACAAACAGTATACATTTTAAAAAATAAAACTAAGAGAAAATAACACATAGTCTGTCATTTATCAAAGCAACCACTTTATTACATTTTACTGAAAACTTTTGTTTTTTATCAAACCACTTGTTTTGGAAGTAGGATGTGGGGATTTTGTCCTGGCTGTATTCACATTCCTCATTTAGAAAAGCTGAGGAAAAATCCTGCCCCTCTGCCCAAAGTTGATTAGATTAGCATGTGTACTTTGATCCAAGGGGCCACTAACTTATTGACTATGCATCGAATAGTTTGGCAAGAGAGTTCGGCGTAAGGGGAAATGCTTATTGAATTTTCCTGAACTAATCAGAGCTCTGATTGCAAATACAGTGAAGGCAGGGACTTCAGCTAGGTTCGGGGCTTTATCTTTTTGTCATATAACAATGCCTGGCAAAGAGTAGTGATTTACTGAATAACGATGAATTCTAGATAATTTGGATGTGAGACATAAGATAGTGGTAGCAATTTATTGCAGGGATAGGAGCTGAAAGATGAATTAAGATGATACATTAAGCTTGAAACATGAGGCAGGAGAAGCTCTACTTAAGCTGAAGACTTAATTTAAAAGATATTATGAATTAGATGAGGGAAGGCTACGGAGAACAGAAAAAAGTTACATAGTGGGGGACTGCTGTTCCAGAAGCAGAGACCAAGAATAACACAGACATGACAGTAAGGAGAAACTAGCGGGGGGGAAGAACGCTTATTACGGGCAAACTGGCCACTTCTGAAAGGTCGTTACTTCTACTAGACCAGGAATAGGTCCTGATAAGAAGGAAGTAAGTTTAAAAATAGAGAAAGATGTGGAGTAAATGAAAATCTCCATAGAAACCACGAATACAGCTCAATTATGTGAATTATTTTTGGGTACCAAGAGATACTGTTTTTTTCTTAAGGGTGGTTTGGTCTTCATCAGGTTTATCTATGAGATCACTGCTGTTCTCATTATATTCACAATAGTAAAAAACTCACTAATTTGTAAGACATATACATGTTTTCAAACCTTACAACCCCAAATAACCTAGCACACATATCATTATGTCCTTTGAAAGGAAATGTTATCATAAGCCTAATTAAATTAGGAAGCAGTGAGATATAAATTGTTATTAAGTATAATTTAAAAACAAAGTAGATTAAATTAGCTGAAGCATTATTTTGTGTTGAACATTTTTCATATAAAATATCTGTCTAAAGAAAATACTGGCAATGCGATCAATTATCTTATATCTGAAAGAGTTGAAGTGTGCCACTTGAAGACCTTCCTTGACTGAGGAAAGCACACAAACAGATAATGTCACTCTCTCTATTGAAGAGTAGAGAAGCTCAGAAAGTTGTTCCCCTATTGCCGTGTTCTATGAAACAAGAACTAGAGTGCAGGTATAACTTTTTAATTTTTTTCAATTTCCCTGGGAATAGAGCAACAGTCTCTAAG